CGACAGAACGAAGATTAGAGATGCCGACATCAACGTCCGTAATGAATTGCTCAAGAGATGAAGTGTATTTGATACTTAAGAAATCGCGATACACAACCGCATGATTTTGTGAAGTGTCAGATTGAAAATGATCGATGAGAGCGCTCCAAATAAGATGAGGTTGCTTTCGATTATCTTCAGTAATGAACTTAGCGTAATTTTCAACACCCAAGTTACGTCCAAGGATCCCGGCTGCAGCTGCCTTCTTATCTTGAAGTGAGATTTTAGCAACAGCGTCTTTCTCTTCTTTGACCAAATCGGAAAGAAGATGATCGTCGAGATTCCTTTCGAGACAATACGAAAACATTATGTTCTTCCAGTTCTGGAAGTTGACTTTCGTAAGGAGTGGAAGATGATGAATTGATTTTTCGGCCATCGTGTATAAGGCTGGAGTTCGATGAGGTTGCAGATTAAGTGCTATCTGGGCTCATAACCTATTGAACTTCGAGCTTTTATGATGAAGGTGATTTTAGCTATCTACACGATAGAGCTAAAGATGACCTGAAGAAGAACACAAACCTTTTATGATGAAGGTGATTTTAGCTATCTACACGATAGAGCTAAAGATGACCTGAAGAAGAACACAAACCTAAAGTAGTTTGAGGTTAGTGATGGAGCGACGAAGTTGGTTAGATGAAACAATTTGATTGATTGCTTTATCATATACACACCTTTTATGATGAAGGTGATTTTAGCTATCTACACGATAGAGCTAAAGATGACCTGAAGAAGAACACAAACCTGAAACGATCACAACGATAAGCTACAATGAATGAGAATGAGATTGATAAAAGAAACGAACCTAAAGTAGTTTGAGGTTAGTGATGGAGCGACGAAGTTGGTTAGATGAAACAATTTGATTGATTAAGAAAGAGACCGATACAAAGTAAAGAGATCGCTTTTATGAAGATCAACTAGGTTTCAGATGACTGCGGCGCGAAGTGTGAAATGAATAAAGTACAATGAAAATAGAGAAAGAACTGAAAAGAACTAGAAAGTTCAATATATGATAGCTTACTGGGGAAACGTCGATACCGCCAAGTTTAGTTTGCCTGATCCCGAGCCTTCTGATCAATCGCTGGAAGAGGAAAATCCCCGGAATCTTGAGCGCGGCCTCCCATTGGGTTCTCATAATGATCTACTAGTTGAGGAGGCGTTAGAATCTGATTTGAACATTGTAGATCTGGATGTTGGGCCGGAGCTTTTTGATAAATCTAGCGAACAGGACCGTAATGAATTGATTAAGACGAGAGAACCTCTTTGGCATCCCACAAAGGCCAGTTTGGATTTTACGGCTGCTCTGTCATTGAATACCCATCGGGCTTCTAGAATGTGTACCAGTGCATTGGGAGGTTTTCCTCCCAATGAGCTGGACTGTGTACCAGTGCATTGGGAGGTTTTCCTCCCAATGAGCTGGACTGTGTACCAGTGCATTGGGAGGTTTTCCTCCCAATGAGCTGGACTGTGTACCAGTGCATTGGGAGGTTTTCCTCCCAATGAGCTGGACTGTGTACCAGTGCATTGGGAGGTTTTCCTCCCAATGAGCTGGACTGTGTACCAGTGCATTGGGAGGTTTTCCTCCCAATGAGCTGGACTGTGTACCAGTGCATTGGGAGGTTTTCCTCCCAATGAGCTGGACTGTGTACCAGTGCATTGGGAGGTTTTCCTCCCAATGAGCTGGACTGTGTACCAGTGCATTGGGAGGTTTTCCTCCCAATGAGCTGGACTGTGTACCAGTGCATTGGGAGGTTTTCCTCCCAATGAGCTGGACTGTGTACCAGTGCATTGGGAGGTTTTCCTCCCAATGAGCTGGACTGTGTACCAGTGCATTGGGAGGTTTTCCTCCCAATGAGCTGGACTGTGTACCAGTGCATTGGGAGGTTTTCCTCCCAATGAGCTGGACTGTGTACCAGTGCATTGGGAGGTTTTCCTCCCGCTGAGCTGGACTGTGTACCAGTGCATTGGGAGGTTTTCCTCCCAATGAGCTGGACTGTGTACCAGTACATTGGGAGGTTTTCCTCCCAATGAGCTGGACTGTGTACCAGTACATTGGGAGGTTTTCCTCCCAATGAGCTGGACTGTGTACCAGTGCATTGGGAGGTTTTCCTCCCAATGAGCTGGACTGTGTACCAGTGCATTGGGAGGTTTTCCTTCCAATGAGCTGGACTGTGTACCAGTGCATTGGGAGGTTTTCCTCCCAATGAGCTGGACTGTGTACCAGTGCATTGGGAGGTTTTCCTCCCAATGAGCTGGACTGTGTACCAGTGCATTGGGAGGTTTTCCTCCCAATGAGCTGGACTGTGTACCAGTGCATTGGGAGGTTTTCCTCCCAATGAGCTGGACTGTGTACCAGTGCATTGGGAGGTTTTCCTCCCAATGAACTGGATTTAAAGCCAGCTCATTAGGAGGGTTTCCTCCAGATGAGCTGGACTGTGTACCAGCTCATCAGGAGGGCTTCCTCCCGATTGAGCTGGACTGTGTACCAGCGCATCGGGAGGTACATTGATAAATGCACTCCCTCCCCCTTCCCGCCCGCCCACGCCCCCGCCCCTCCAAAAGGGGTGTGCAATCCCACCTGCCCGTCTCTGAGGGGCAGGTTTTGCTACAGGCCCCTCTGTTTGCTGACATTTGAAACAAGAGGGGTGTGCAGTAAAACCCGCCCAAAAAAGGGCGGGTTGGCCTGCACACCTGGTCTGGAGGGCCAGGAGGAATCCCTCCTGGCTATCAAGACTGTACAAGTCTCAATGGCCGGGAGGCTCCCAGCTATCACGACTAGTGGGAGGGGTTCCTCCCGGTCATTGAGACTTGTACAGTCTTGATTTCCGGGAGGGATTCTCCCAGTTTTTGAGACAGTCTCAATGTCTGGGAGGGATTCTCCCGGTCTTTGAGACAGTCTTGATGTCCGGGAGGGATTCTCCCGGTCTTTGAGACAGTCTTGATGTCTGGGAGGGATTCTCCCGGTCTTCAAGACTTGTACAGTCTCAAAGGCCAGGAGGAATCCCTCCCGGCCATCAAGACTGTACAAGTCTTGATGGCTGGGAGGGATTTGACCTCTGGGGTGGTTGGCGTGCAATCCCACCTGCCCGTCTCTCAGGGGCGGGTTTGATTTCACGCCCCTCGGAAGCCTGATTTTGCTGCGCTACGCTTAACACTAATGGGAATTCCGCTGCATTACGCTACACTAACCGCTACAGTTAGTGTAGTGGCCCACTGTTGATCACACACACTCACCTTCTGACCAGACGTGTGTGCGTAGTTACACGGACAAGGCTTATCATCATCAATCATATATAGGCCCTTATAGATTAGCCACAATGTCCAGAACAGACAGGCTTTTCCTACCTTCTACTTGCGCTTTTTCTCTCATTCACAAACACTTTATAACGTTGCACTTTCCAAGTTTTTTTTTTTTTTTTTTTGTAAATAGTCTTATATGTTTATGAATTTTTATAAGTTTTTAGAACCAAGGATATTGATTAATCTGTGAGTAAGTACCGAAATGAGTCTTGTTAAGGAAGTATGTACAACAAACAAGCCATTTATAAACAGGAGTCATCCTTCCAAGTTCCAGACAAGTGACGTATCTCTCTCTCCTGAACCAGAGGCCTTTGATATCCTATCCACATGAGGGACTCTAGCACAAAGCTTGTTGTCAAGTCCCAAGCCAATGCTGATCAATACTCTGGGGCCAATTGGAACATCCACTCTCATTATACATTTCTCTCTCTTTTTCTCAGGTTCACACAAATGCCACACTCTAAGCAATGTGACATCATTTTGCTGGGCATAAGGAGAGAAAATGAAGAATGATTACAGTGTATTATTATGAATATCACATAGATGTATTTTATTTTATTTTTTTGCTGTTTTGTTGTTGTTTTTCACTTCCACTTATTTTTTTTTCTCACCTTCTTCTTCTCCAACACAAACACACACAAAAAAAGAGAAGTAGCTGATCAAATGCAAAGACAAAAGGAAAGACTAACTGATGAAAAGAGAGAGGGGAGAGGAAAAAAAAGAAAGAAAGAAAGAAAGAAAGAAAGAAAGGAGGGGTGATGATGATGGAAGAGAAGGAATAAGAGGAGTGGAAAAAGGAAGTTGGTCTCCCACAATGTTATCGAAAAAAAGAAGGGGGGACAGGAATACATACATGAAGAGAACGCATGCAAAAGTACACATGATGTATACATGAGCAAGTAAGTGAAAGCACATGTGTGTGATATGTGTGTAATATCTCAAGTAATCAGAAACAACAACAAGGATGACGACGACGATAAGAAAGAAAAAAGAGAAGATAAAAGAAGAGGGGCAAAGAAAAGAGATGGGGAAAAAAAGGAAAAGAAACAGATTATTGGTGTGGAGCCAATCATAACAGAAAGTAAGAAGAATAATAAAGAAAGTGAGAGAGAGAAAGGGAGAAAGAATGAGAAAAGAAGAAAAGGAGAAAAGAAGTCAGGAAAAGGGGGGTGAGAACACGACTCAAACGATGGTGCATTCCTCAGTTTTTTTAGCTTTAGCGGTTTGGATGCCCATGTCAGCGAACGAGTTGAACTGAGTTTTAGGCCCGGTTTTAGCCGGCGTGGAGGTCGTGATATGGTCGATTTCCTTTGATGCAGAGAGCGGGTTGGGAATGGGCCCATCATCGGAGAGTTGGAAACTATTGAGTCGATTGACCATGTGACCGGTCGAATGTTTATGGATGAGAGGACGACTGTTTTGGTTCGAAGGATGATGATGATGATGATGGGGAGGCGTTGAGGGTTGACGAAGATTAGCAGGACTGTGGCCGTTTCGGGGGGCGTGGGTGTTGTTATCCTTGGAGTGGTGACCGTTCCGAGTAGGCGAGTAAGGGGATCCGGGTGTGGTGGGGACAGAGACGGGGTTGGAGGGCGGCGAGTCGCTGGAGGAGCTCTGGCGAGAGCCAAGGACACCGATCTCGGCCACCCTGCGAGCCTTCTCGACCCTACGCATGGTTTCGCGACGACGGACGCCGGGGGAGGATCTGGGAGGCTCGGCCGGGCTGCGCGAGGCGGCCATGGTGTGCTTGCGGACTAGCTTCTGGTCCAGATGCTGCTCGTGTTGCTGCCGGGATAACAGGTGTCCACCCTGGCCCAGACTTGCCAGCCGTTCCCGCGCATCCTCGTTGCCTCCGTCTTGCCACGCACGTTGGTACCACTCAAGCGCTGCTTTTGCATCCTGTCGTCCGGCTATCCCTACTTCTAGATAGTATCCTATCGCAAACATCGCAGAGCCTAGTCCTTTCCTCGCCGCCTTCTCGGCAAACGTCACTGCTAACGGTTCATTCGCTGCAAAGTGACCATCTGCTCCACACAGGAACCATTTCGATAAGGCCATGTCGGCTTCGCTCTCTCCCTGAAATAGGAAATAAACATTTATCAGCAAAACAAATTCCCTCAAAGGGGCAGAGATGACAAAAAAATCGGACAAGAAGATTGATGACTGACTTGTTGAGAAGCTAAAGAATAGTATTCGACCGATAATAGCGGATCGAAAGGGCAAGTAATTTGAGAGTATTCGTAGCACCAACCGATCTTATACTGGGCGGCAGCGAAGCCCAGATAGGCGGCCTTTTCGATCATATACCTTGATTCGCTGAGGTTTGGGGGCAAGATCTCGTGGGGGATCTGGGGCAACGACTCGAACTCTCCGGCACTACCATCCAACACAAAAGTCAGTATTTCACATCAGCGATAGGAAGAGAAAAGCAGGTAGTGGCTCACAGGATCATCCCATAGATGTACGCCGGCTGTGGAGTCTCCTCGTTCGCTAGTTGGGCCGCTTTCTTCAGAAAGACTACCGCTTGGGCCATGTCGACTGGTAAGTTCATCTGGCCTAGTAGATAAGACATACCCAGTCTCTGAAATCAATCATCCGCAGAAAAAGCAATAATATAAGTCAGTCAAGGTGTTTTTTTATAACGTCTCCTATTTTTTGAGGAATGGAGAAAGGGGAACCTACATAAACACATGCACATTCTTCAAAGGCAAGTCCATGTTCATAAGCCCCAATAGCCCTATCCCAATCCTCACAATTCTCGTACTCTCTGCCGATTCTAAACCAAGCAAGATAATAGCCAAGATGAGCGGCGGCCTCGAAGTCTCTGAAAGCGAGCATGGGGTCCTTAGCCCGATAGGAGGGGAAGGCGCCCGTGGAATAGAGGTCTCCCCTGAGATATAGGGCCTCGGCGCCCCCGTTAGCCAGATGGGGGTTCCCGTCGGCATATTTCAGGACAGTCTTGAGGGCGATGTCAGTGTATTTGACTAGTAAGGGGTCCGAGATCTTGGAGGTTTGTGCAGATTTGGGGTCTTGGGGTGAGGGCGAAGGAGGGGCTGAGGAAGCCTCGAGACCCTGGGAGCGTTCGATGAACTTGAAGACCTTGGATGCCCACTGGACCTGACCAACCGGGTCGGAGCTTTGCCTGAAATGCTGTTCATAGAGCGCCGTGAGCATGTCAAGGTCGATGACGGGGAGGGAGATCGGTTTGCTGTGAGAGAGGATGCCAGGGCTGGTTGGTTCCGAGCGAACGTTGTAGGCCGGCTGAGGGGGTCCATAGTTCGAGTGGGAAGGGAAGTTGGTGAGCCGGGGGCTGGGTTCGAGGAAGAGCTGGCCGGCCGAGGATGGATGAGATTGGTTCTGGTGAGAATGAGCCCGGGCGAGTGGGGCGGTGGTGGGGTAGGCTCCTGCGTAGGAGGAATGAGCTGGGATCGGCGAGGAGCGGGGAGGTGCGGTTGACTGGGAGCGTATGGGCTGAGGTGGGTGGGGTGGATGAGCGGGGGCAGGTGAGTTGAAGTAGTCTATCTGTCTGAGGTTGTCGGCTGTGAGCGCATAGGGAGCAGGCACTTCGTAGTGATGCTGACGCTGTTGTTCTGGGAATTGGAGGCAGGAATGATGTGAGTGATATAGTCTGAGATGTGTGTTTGGAGATGGATGAGTGATTCTTACCAGCAGCAGCTTGAGCACGATAGTCTGATGGTACGGGCGGCAGAGGAGGGCGGTGGCCGGTGGAAGGGTGGTGTTTGAGTTGAGGAGGGACCGGAGGGAGGCTTGGCCTGGGTTGGTGAGGGTAGAATGAGTTGGCCATGTGTGTGTGTGTGTGTGTGTATGGTGGGGGTCGGAAGAAATTGGGCTGAGTTTGTGGCTGTGTAGAAGTGCTTAGAAGTGTGAAGTGGCGTAGGGTTCTTCGCTGCAGGCGTTGTGGATCGTCGGGATTGAGTATGAATGTGTGAATGAAGAGTAGTGGATGATTTTGTTGGTCAGAATGGTTGGTTGTTTTTGGTTGGATGGGGAGTTGGAGCCTGTTTAAATAGTGATTGGTAGAGTGAGAGATGGCTGGCTGAAGCTTGTCTTGAGCCTGGTTTGATTGAGACAGCTGGTTTAAGTTGGGGGAGCTCAGGTGCTGGCGGGATAAGAAAAAAAAAGAGGTTTGAGTAGAGCAACTTCAGCTTCCAGCCATCTGTTTCTTCTGGTTCTAAAGGTGAGAATAACTGGGGTAGTCGAAAAGATAGAATGTTTATATTGGAGCAGGATGGATGGTCAATCAAGGCACCGACTGGGAGGAAGTTGTGTGTTTGAAAGGATTCCAAAGAAATTATGTATTACAAAGAACAAAAAGAGCACTCAACAAACCAACCTTTCATTCTCTAAAACGGGTCAAGCAGGACTACATAGCCTCTACTTCTACTTCTGTCCCAACCACCAATTAAAATACTACCTCCTTTACTCACGCTACAAAGCCAGAATCGGATCAACAACCAACGATGATCCCCCAGTGATCATCAAACTGGGAAGCTTCACATCGATCGATATCAAAGAAACACTTCACAAGCTCATCGTCAACCCATTCCCAATCATTCGTCACGTGAGAACCTCTTATCAATCCATCAGAATTCAACCGATGTGGTAATAGTACTACCGATGTAGACTTATCGTACTGCGTCCTCCAACAGCGCATCAAGCCATCTCCATTCGCTCATCCTTTCGTCATTCCTATCAAAAAAAACAAACGTTAACGATGTTACGATTTCAATTTGTTAACGTATTTGCCCTTATCCGGCACCGGAAACCAAGAGTCAGACCATGCCGACTCGGATCAAATACGCCATTTGATGCTGGTCTCTCACAATTCCGAGTTAGTATATCGGCTAGTATATCCGCCTTTCATCTTTGCTAGAGGGGCGCGGAGGAGACGGGTTCGATTCCCGTACTCGGAATGTTAATTTTGCCCGGGCCGCCACACCTCCATAGCCCGTGTTTTTCGGAGCATCAAATTCTTGCCCTCATCTGAGCTTAGAGTTCAATCAACATCTGGCAATCATTTTTTACTTCCAAATTTCCAAAGATCGTTTAAACACTTTGCGTTTTGTTTTGTTATGTAAAACACACACACATCGGCACGAGCTGCTTGTTCCAGGTTGTTTGGCGGATCGGACTTTCATGGCGATGCCTCAGCAGATCCAAACGTGTGGCCTAATGATTTGTCAACAAGTTTGGCCTACATAAATAATTACCATGTGGTCACGAGTTTGGCCTGCTTGATGTCAGTTGAGATACGAATCCTCCTGGTTCCGTTGTACATAAGCCGCTTTAATGCTCCCTTGAGCTTCCGGTCCTATTAAAGTAAAAGCTTGCAAAAGACGCAGTCAATACTCGAGAGCAGTTGGACTCGCAAGCTGTGATCAACATGTGCTGACACATGTGCCATCATTACACCAATGATGTTCGGTCATTCAGCCGGCTTTTGGACCCGCATTGCTGGGTTGCTTGCAAGATTAAAAGCGTGTGGGATGGGAAGGAGATCCCGTTGGCCGGCCTCAAGGGTGCTCTGGAACTGCGACTTGGGTGCACGGGTCAAATGGGATGGCGAAGATCTTGGTGAAAGTGACCCTCATGTGCGAGTCTATGGATATAGTTTCTGACGACTGCAGTTCTATTCAGGTTTGAGCAGGATGGCTCGACGAAATTCGAACGGCTGATCTGAAGATGCCCACTCACATCGCCTGCCTTGCCTCAGCCCTCAAGAAATTCCCAAGTGTTAATGAGCAATCTTGAGCAATGCAAGCTTGGACAGAAAGCAGCTATTGCCCGCCCGTTTCTGAGAACGTGACCAGTTGAGACTCATCAGGCAACATGAGTGCTTCCTCATGTGCTTGTTAGGACTCGGGTCTGCCATGGCCTTGTGTTATACCTGTACGGGGGAGTTGATCACAGCGTTGTCTGTGAGGATATGTAGTCTTTTTTTGTTTCGCCACTCGATTCTCATATCCTGACAGCCTTCCGTCCGATTTTTCCACTTCCATGTATCAAATAACTGTCCCAACGCCAGTATGTTTCTTGGAACTCAGACAGACAGAGATGATTAAGCTCTTATAATCAACACAGTCAACGATCTCCGGAAACCATACGGATCACTATCTCAACGGACGCTTTCGTTCGAACGAAATTGAACCGATTGTCCGTGGAATCACCGATACGTTGCATGGTCATATGATGAGGGCTTGAAATCCGCTCGCCGGGTGTGTTGTTGACGACCACTGCACCGCGCCAAGAGCTTCCGATTCCGAACGCGCTCGCTCACAACAAAGTGATCGCCATTAACACAGACTTAATCATGATGGCCGCTAACCAACAAGCTAGAATATCTTGATTAGCTCTGCAGCGTTGACTCGAGTACAATCAACCTGAATAATTCAAAAAAACATCGTCCCTGTAATTCACGATAAGCTTGTCTGATTGTTTTGTCTGCATTTTCAATCCGTAATTGCATTAATGAAGTCAGTCCACAATTTACTCTTTCATAGAAGGCCATCTATTACATTTGGGTCTTAAAATGTGTTGAGTTCCTATTGACTTTTCTTTCCCAACCAAACAAAAAAAAAAAGATCCGAAGCTTGAGTACAATTGTTTTCAAGTTTCGCTTCTGGATACCGCTTTTCGCTACTCAGCTAGTTCTCTTCGATCTTCAAACTGGGTTCTCGCGAAGGGCGCGCTATCTTGTTGGTTGTTCAGACTTCACATTCTTGATTTGAAAAAAAAAAAAGATGATGATGATGACATCATCTTCAGGGAGGGAGATGGATTTCTTTTGAAAGTGAGGTTTTCGACTTCCTAATCTTCTGCAAACATTCCTTCTTCACAAGGGTGACAAAATGTGAGTGCCATGAGTTCATCTGGCCCATAGTGAGGTATGTGAATGAAGGTGGTAAGGCCTGGAGGGGGCGTCGCACACGAGCCCTGCCAGTAGTACCTGCAGTTGTTAATAAAAACGCGGAGTGAATTGAGAAGTTAAGGATTCAAGAGGTTTGTGAATGTTTCTGAACGATTATTGGAGGATCGGCATCGATGGTAAGTATCACTCAAATCTTGACCATCAAACAGCCATTCAGCGACAACTTTTGGACGATTGCACATGGCACTTGTCTGGCAGCCCACACACAGTTCTCGATACTTTCCCTGCTCCCAGCACCCTTCTGAAGGCGAGCGCAGACATGCTCGCTTCACCCCCAGCGTGTGGTGGTGGTGTTCGTAAGTAATAGCTAGGAAAGTGCAAGGAAGAACCGCAAAACAGACTCACGAAGAATATCTTGATGCAGCGTCCGGTTTTTGGACTACCCTGCAAGATAGAAAAGCTACTCCGCCAAAGGCCAGTCGGCACTGTATAAAACACTCAGGTCTCAATCACTCGACTGTCAATTCCCAGCATCCATTCCTTCATCCTATTTCCAAGAAAACACTTCGGCGCCATTATTCCGTCAAAAGTCTTGAAACGTACGTCAAGATTTCCATGATTCCCTTATAGCAAAGGATACTAATACGCATCTTCTAACTTTCCATACAGTTCATCAGGAAGTTGTTTCTCTGGATTCAAGTGAGAAGAGCGAGCTTGTTCCTTTTTTACTTTATGAGGTTAATGGGTTTTTCTGTTGCTCATCTCATCTCTTTTTCTAATTTGTGACTTCTTATAACTAGGAAAACAGCTAGATCAAATAACTCAGAGACCATATACCAGCCGACGGGCAGGAGCATAAAATAGACAACACGCCATATCAGCTCTTGACCGATCTTCAGCTTCGTAGATCTCACCACCCTCAAGGACACAGGAAATTAGACTCGGCTCGTTGCTGTACTTGACCTAACAAAACTTGTAAGTTGGATATCTCAGGCATAATTCCATCTCATCTCAGTTCTCTTGGAACCTTTTCTTTTTGCGAATAACTCGCGGCCTTGGCGGTGAAACGCGTCAAGTGGTGGTGGTGGTGTGCTTTCGTTCTGCACAACAATATTCACCAAAGTCGCTTGTGCTACAAAATCCAAATGGGGATTTGATATTCCACCTCAAAAGTCTCTGAAGCCTCCCCGGGACGTGAATTATTTGTAAGCATCCCAGGGGAATGGTGAGTTGGATCGAGTGCCTGTATCTCAATGCTCACTGGATGCATTCTCCTGGCATCGAGGGAAGATAACACGAAGCTGTAGAGGTGTTTCTAGAGACTTCACAGGAGATTCCATCCTAACCCCAACCGCTTGTGTCCAACGCAGCCAGCCTAGGGGGCGTTAAGAAGAGATCTGCTCAGCTACAGTATGTAGCACATGGATCCTTGACATGGCCACTGGTGTTTAGAGCTTAGAAGTCTTCGAACCAGATGCACTACATATTGATAATCCGGGTCCCCTCCCCCCCTGGGAAAGCGAATCAGATGGACGAGTGTTTCCTGTTTTGTCCACCCCAGCGAGCCATATCTACACAAGATATACCTGCATACAGTTTTCAAAGTCGGCTCAGCCTGGCTCAGTAGGATCTTGCTGGACATTTTCATCATCAGTGATCAGATGTCTGCGTCAAGCGAGCCGGGAATGAATCCGATGCGCGTGTATGTATGCAGCTTTGCCCCCCCCCCCCTTTCGGTATGGAATTCTTGTGGTGCAAATTTGTTTGTCGATAGTGTTGCTTGGGATAGCCGGTAGATGTCCAGTAGAGCCAGGTTGAACTGATGGACAATTTGCCAAACAAGTTGCCCGGCTGGCGGCTGACCCTACTGACAAACGAGCTTTGGACAGGGCGACTGGGTACAAATTGATACCTCGTCGTCTGAAGTGATGCCTATGTGCAAGGAACACTTCACCTCAGCTAATCTTTCCCCATCGTACCATCTTCTTTGGCTCCACTTCCCGGAAACTACTATTTTTCTATCTTCTCCAAGAGAGAAAGCTGCAAGACGGCCTCACTTTTACACTCGATTATATACTTACATATCAATCAATAGCATTGATCTAACCTGCGGCGCAAAAAAAAAAATCTGCGAAGGAAAGATTCTGGACGATTTTGTTGGACAATATAACATCGGGAACTTCTTCAGCGAAAAAGGATCCGACCCGATTACTTTAGATAAAGCGGAACTGTGTTCTCAGCTTTCCTAGTCGTTTCAATCGTCAACCACCCCCCTCCCCCCCCCCCCCTTCAACTCGCTACCATTTACCCACCTTTTTTAAGAAAAATTCCATCAAATCAAACCGGCTGCAATCGATTCGAGAAACTTTGATCTAGACTTTCAGCTAGCCGGCGTATATCTTCAGGCATTTTCCGAATCTTTAATTCTCAACCCCTCCTTATTGCAACGAGCTACCGGCTAGTATACTAGCTTCTCGCAGGCACCTTTCCTGTCTCCCAGATCAATCCTATTATTATCCCTTCACAACTTTTCCATCGTTCTAGAAGATACATCTTCCCATCGCAAAGTGGTAATATCCACCGCCATACTTTATTCGAATTCCAAAAGGAAAAAAAAAGAAAAAGCTTTTTCGAAGAAAAAAGCCGTTCTACACGTCGAAGCTGCGGCAGCAGAAAGAATTTGCAAAGCTCTCCTAGCCGTTTGAATCTCTATATACTTTCCACCCGTGTTGGTTACCGTCGATTTTAAGAGAGATTTTTGTCTTATCCGACTTTGCATCTCTTTCTCACCCCACCTGGGCAGATAATCCTCGTCACGTTGGGCCGCTTGAAGATTGAAGTAAATGCTTTCTGCAGGGGATTCTTGCTTGCTCGAAGAAAGCAGGAGACTCTTCTTTTTCATCTTCATCCATCACACCCCCTCAATACTCGCAAACGAATCATACATATACTGACCAACGTTCTCCTGCTTTTCGTGACGTTGGATTTGTTTGTTCGACTGGGAATTCAGAACTTGACTCTAGTGGACCAATCCAGTCCCCCCTCCTTAAATCAATCTCGAACAGAGCAGAACCGCCTCCACACTTCACTGCAGGCAGATTGAAATTGATTCTCAAACTTCTCCAGTTGTTTATCCGAAGAGAATACGCGAATCACTGGTACCTAAGTGGTGATTTGATTGATCGATCACACTCAAGTGGCGAAAGGGGTATGTCCTAAACCTTGCTTTGCTACATCTTGCCACTTCCCTCGAATCTCTATCACATCTTATCGTCAAAGTTGGACCATCATCATCTCTACCGTCAAAGGCCTCTCCAGGAATCTATCCAACGTAGTATCACCTCACTCCAAGCCTAACTAATGGGAAGAGTCAATTCAACGATTCACTTCTTCCACATGCCTCAGCTGGACTCCGCTTGCTGGAGAGGTTGTCTGGCGGATAACCCTTCCCGAAGAAATATCTTCATGTGTTTGACTCAGAAAACTGACCTCCTGGCATGTATCATTTTCCACCAGGTCTTGATCAGTTACCGCAGTGATTTTGCAATCCCTTCCTCCGTTCTTGCGGAATACCATTTACGATATTCGAGATCCCCCAATCGGCGAAGATCCAAGGGATTCGCGGACTGTAGTGAGACTCGGAACACTCGAAGACTCGACTAGATTTCTAGCCAGAATCATAATTCGGCTATCCAGGTGTGACTCCAACTTGTCGAAAGGAGTGCTGATCAAGGTGAGGCAGATAAAAACCTCTATCGAACATCGAAAGATCACTACCACGGTTCTCGAGAATAGTTTACGAGAACCAGGAATCAGGAGGCTCGTAGATTAGCTGCCTCTGAATTACATTTAAACTGATCATCTTGCGCTCCACATTGCTCGTCCTTTCTCCTTCTCCATCCTGCGGTTACATTTGATCTTTCATCCGACCATTCAGGTTTATTAGACAAGTGAATCCGAACGGTTCGTGCTGCTATCATAACGCACTTTCGTCAAAGCTATCTTCGCTTGTTCGTCCTACCATCGCTTCCAACGAGGCGTAATTGAGAATTTCGAATAGCTTTCCATTGACATCAGACTATATATCGATCAGGTGGGTCATCTTGCTGTCTTTTGCACTCCTTTGACATCCCTCATTTGTTCAAGCCAGGTGGGTTGAGCAAGTTCTGAGATCTGAGTGGCCCAAGCGCTGTTTTAAGCAATGCGCCATGATTGATCTTTCTCCATAATCAGTTTCCCTTCCCCAGCTCAGACAGAAACACTGATCAGGTGGACAGCAATGATAACCCCTACTAAAATTTTCACCCAAGACGTGACCCATTCAGCCAGTCAAAGAAAAGTAGACTACATGAATGAAAGATTAACCCGAACTGACCTTTGTTTTCCTGTATCAGCAGATCTCTTGGCGCTTGGGAAAATTTGTGTCACCGAAAAAAAAAACAAGAAGTCAAACTAAAATGAGATCGAAGCCAGCCGGTGTGACTCGGATGAGTTCGATTCCCACCCCCATCGTCGAGTCGCGTCGACCCCGATCCAAGTTGAGGCTTCATCCGCTCATCGGTTATGCGGTCATCAGCGCATTCATCCTACTCGCCAATTTGGACTTCTTCCCCATCACCGCCCACGCCCTCTCTACCTCGTCCTATTACCGTGCTCACAAGCCAAAAGCCGCTGCAAAGCATATCATGCATTCCCATTACTCGGGCGCTGAGCCTGAGCCTGCTGAACCTCCAACTGCGGATTCGGATTCCAGCTACAATGATACCGACTCTCAGGAGACGTACAAGAATGGTGCGGTCTCAGCTACCTATTTCGTGAATTGGGCTATCTATGGCCGCCATCACTTCCCTTGGGAGGTCCCTGTGGAATCGGTGACCCACGTGTTCTATGCGTTTGCAAATGTGAGACCTGAGTCGGGTGAAGTGTACCTGACTGACTCTTGGGCAGATGAACAAGTCAGTAAAACCTCTTCGATATCGGCTCATTGTGCCACCTAGGAACTGCCTTGTACCGTGCCCTACCCATAGGATCGTTTTTCTATCATTGCCAATTAGGCTGACCTCAATATCTTTCAATCTTGAACAGATACATTGGGCCGACAGAGGTGACAGTTGGAATGATTCCGGGAATAATCTCTATGGCTGCTTCAAGTTAGCACAATATTTCTCTAGCTGCTTCTGACATAGTGCCCTTTCTCTTGACTGACTCCTGATTCACTTTGTGATTCACAAAATGCATCTCTTCCAACAGTCAATTCCGCCAGCTGAAGCAAAAAAACAGACATCTCAAGCTTATTATTTCGATTGGAGGTTGGTCTTACAGCGCCAACTTTGCTCCCGCGACCAGCTCGCCGGAAAAACGACAGAAGTTTGTAGACTCAGCGATTGCGATCGTCGAAAATTATGGCCTTGATGGACTTGATTTGGATTGGGAATACCCCACCAATGATAAGGAGGCCGACCAATTAGTGGACGTACTACGCCGGGCTCGTAGTGGACTTAACAAACTCAAGCAGAAGAAAAATGACCAAAGTCCCTACGTCCTCACTATAGCCGCTGTGGGTATTTTTCTTTTTGCCTTTTTATCCGAAAAGGACGGGCACCAATATCGTTTGTTTTTGTAGCCATGTGGCCCCAATCATTACAAGCAGCTTCACCTCAAGGAGATGACTCGTTATTTGTCATTCATCAACTTGATGGCGTAAGTCACCTTTCCGCCAATATTCCATACAATCGTAAAAAAATGCCGTGAATTAATAACCCTTCTGTCCCATAAAAACAGGTATGACTATGCAGGATCATGGGATACACTTTCTGGCCATCAAGCGAATCTTCATCTGACCAACTCATCTGCCGTGAACCAGGGCAACTTTTCCACAGCTGCTGCTGTTGAGTACTACATGTCTCAATCGGTCCCTGCCTCGAGTCTCGTCGTTGGCATGCCCCTCTATGGTCGCTCGTTCCTCAATACCAAGGGGATTGGTCAAGCTTACAACGGTCTTGGCCAAGGAAATTGGGAGCCAGGAATTTACGACTACAAGACGATCCCCATGGACAACGCGAAATTGGTTGAAGATATGAAGGCCGTAGGAGCATACACTTACAACCCATCCAATCAGGAACTCATCACTTTCGACACCCCCAACACGGTTCGCCGGAAGGTAAAGTATATCGAGAAGCACGGCCTCGGCGGAGTCATGTGGTGGGAGAGCTCTGGCGACAAACAAAATTCGGATGGGGCCCTGATTCCCCTGGCGGCGAAACTTTTAGGCAAACTTGATTCGACGCCAAATCATCTCAGGTTAGCACGGTTTATTTTATTTTATGAGAATTCACTTTCACCTGTCCCTTGTGCCCTTTGCTGATTTTTTTTTTCCTTCAAAAAAAAGCTATCCTGGTAGTAAGTGGGACAACCTGAAAAGCAACCACCCTCCATCCAACTCTTCTGTCACGCCATCGGGTGGATACCGTGCTCACAACCAACACCGAGCCCATAAAACCCATCACAAACATAGCGTGCATCATCACAAAGTAAAACAATACCATCCGGTGCAGGGCAGCTATTAATTTGGCGATCATAACCACCAAAAGATACACGATTACTCTCCACAAATGCGTACAAATGTACTAGTTACCCCTTGTTCCATAGAAGTTTCTTCCCACTTTCCATTCCCTTCTTGCCTCGAGAGAAAATACAGATCGTTCTCATATACATGTACCCTTAATTTCTCCGATTCAATATGCTGAGCATATATAAGCTTGTCAGTTGGTGCAGTCAAGTTTACGAAATAGGACAAAATACATACATGAAATTCAATGATCAAAGAGGTTATTTTCTACACAGAATGAAAGCTTCTTGGGTCCGTAGGCGGATTTTAACACATTGATACTTTGTTATGAAGGTGGGCTTTCAGGAGAAAGCATTATGAAGGTGAGCTTTCAGGAGAAAGCAAGACGCCCAAGCTGAAGGATGAAAATAACACATTTCGTTTGGGATATACATAACAAGGAGCGAGACTACTACCACAGCTGGAGAGAATACGACAAAAAAAAGGCGTTATAGAGTATGGGAGTTATTGAATTGTACTCTAGTAATCCTCATATTCTGAACCGGTGGTGATGTCTTCGATAATGTGATCATGCGAAAGCCAAATGAAATTCTCAATGGCAACATTGAACTGAGAAAGCCAAAGTTGAATCCATCGACGATGAGATTGATATGCTTCTGGGTCTGAGTTAGGATCCAACGAATCAAAATGGTCAATGAAAATCGCCGTAATATCCTTGAAAGCGGCATCCAAGGCGATCATCGCATCAATCAGTTTCTTCGTATGAGGTCGTGACTCATATAATGCGTCGAAGATAACGTATAGTTCGGAGGACATCGTCTCGGCCACGCATCGCAAGGCTTCCAAGTGTCCAAAGTCCATGTGTGAGGTCAAGCGAGGCTGGCTATTCGTAAGCCTGAGTTTGTTTATGAACAGTCGAGATAGTTTGACCAGTGGGATTAGGCCTTCAGCTTGTTCTCTGAGCATCAATTCTTCAGGATCGTCCTCGACTTCAGGCGAGTTTACGAAAATCATAATGTCGCATAATAGGCTTTCATATTCTATGATTATCGAGTGCCATTCGTCTTGCAAGACAGAGATGTTCGATCGACCTAACCATTCAATGAATCTCTTAATTCCGCACAGTTCGGTATCAACGTCGGAGGGTATGAGAGGTGTTCGGTAGCTGTTGCCGATGTTCACCGTGCCATCTTCCCGGATGGTGAAAACTGCAAAGCATCCTCTGTATGATTCCAGTATTCCAGAAAGTCCGATCATGACGTTGTTGAGATATTTTGAGCCCATACGATGACATCTGAGCACCGTCAAGTCCTCCACGTTTTCTTGCGAGTCCTCTGGTTTCGGCGACTCCCAAATCCGGGAGATGGAAGCAACGATCTGGTCCACAGAGTCATTGATTTCGGATAACACTGTAAGGCCGGCTTGAAAGCGGGGGTTCGGATCCAGAGGCATGCTGGTGGGATCGAGGCATACCGAAAGCTGCTTGATCTGTTCATGCAAGAGAGGTAAATGCTTTGTCTTGAACATCCAACGAACGTTGTTCCTCAGTTTCGATCGGTCAATGTAGTTAGCCTCCCGCCGCAACGAACGTTTGAGGGCTCGCTTATGATCCCGTTTACTCTTTCTTCCCAAGGTTTTCAAAGCCTGAACCAGTCGATCTACATACGCGTCCACCCGTTCGGATCGATGACGGGTATCCAAACAAATGCATGATTTCAGTGGCTATGTCGGACTTGAAAACAGACTTGGCTTGAAAAGTAGCAGGGGAAACTTGCGAGCACTACGCTTGCCGGACTCACCTTGGCATGTCTGCGGCTGATCAGGTTCTTCAAAGATTCCGACCAACCTTGCGAGGGATTGGAATTCTTCTCGAAAAAGCATGTTGGCCAAAGGAGAAATTCGAAAGATGTAAAACCCAACTTCAAAAGAAACGACTCCTACAGTTGGTAGCGATTCGTCTCCGGGCCCGGCTGATAAAATATCTCAAGATATTCCTAAGAGCGAACAGAGGCATGCCATCTGTTCGTCCAAAAGACCGATGGGCAGAGATGTGTCTTACATCAGTAAACAAGAAAGCAAAGGAAAATTTGTAAAAGGAACTCAACGACCTGCATACAAAGGATGACCCCCCATCCAAAGGGCGTCCATGCATGACCCAGTCTGGCTCATCCACAACAAGCGCTCCGAGAACCTGTGTCAGAAGCGACAGTGGGTCTGAGCGCGGCCAGCTTCCCACCAATGGGATTCCTTGACTCGCCTTAAGTGGCTCCTCGGCGGAAACTGAAATGCCATTGATCACTCAAAGACCCTTGGATTCGGGAGAAAGGCCGCATGTACGAACTTAACATAACTCCCTACGAGTACGAGGAGGCCGAAGGAAGGACTTGTCCCTACGCGACCGACTTTGGCACGGGAGGCATCCAGTTTGGACTGTTTTTGCTTCCTCACACATCCCCCCATTCTGCGCGGTAGATGTCACCCATGTAAAACTACATGATACCCACAGATTCTTGGCCAGATAGAGTGCTGCTTTTTTTTCAAGCCATAACTTGCAATTTGTCCATGACCACATGAAAACGAAAGAATCCCGGTGGAAAGCTATTCTTGCGTCCGGAGTGACACATGATCAAAGCGTAATCCCACGTCATGGCAGCTCTGGCATGGAGCTTTCTCTACCTTTCTCCTTAAAATTGGGGACAAAGGAATGGGCCTAAAGCCCTGAAATTGGTTTTGAAGAAGCTCATGATGCAGCAGTTTTTCTTTCTAAAAGCAGCTTCATCACAGTACACTGTGGGGAGGATTAAAGCAGTGATAAGTACAAAAAGTGAAAATCAACAGAATACAATGTACAGTGGGTGGACCGTTATTTTTGGCTGCTTGTTTTGGATCCCAGAGCTTCAAGGCACCAGATTGAAGTCATGGGACTTGGTCAATTGGTGCAGAATTAGAGATGGTTGCGGATAATCCGCCGCGGATATCCGCTATCCGCTGGCGGATACCCGCCAGTGCCAGCGGATACCCGCCAGCGGGTGCGGATTCGGGTGCAGATGCACCCTTCTCCCTGAAATACTGGCGGGTATCCGGGTATCCCTTGGGATACCCGGTGCCAAGAGGCCACACCGCCGGGAGGAATCCCTCCCGGCAAGCTGGTTTTTAAACCAGCTCGTCGGGAGGGGCGAGGGGGCTGGTTTTTTTTTTTTCTTTTTTTTTTTCTTTTTCTTTTTTTTAAAACAAACACTCCTGGAACAGCCTCGCCGCCCATTCAGAGGGCGGGCTATCCGCGGGTATCCGCGCGGATACCCGCCAACGCTGGCGGGTATCCGCCAGCGTATGCGGATGCGGATGCGGATGTCCAATTCCGCTGAAATGGTGAGAGGATATCCGAATCCGAACGGATATCCGGATGCGGCGCGCCCATCTCTATGCAGAATAGGTCCCAAAAAATGAATATGAAAAAATAAAAACAAAAAACAAAGTTTCAAAATTTGTGAAAAATAAAAAATAAAATTTGTTTTTCTCAAAAGCTTTGGAATTCATTTTTGGGGCGTGAGAGTGCTGAGAGAAAGGAAGATTGGGATATTAGAAGAATGATTATGAATGAAAATTTTGGAAAAATTGCTTTCCAGATGGCTTCAAAGAGCTGTTGATTGGGGCATTCACCAGCCCACATTGCAGTAAAGCACTAGTATTTACTGTTTTGGCTCCAATCTGGACAACCAACCTGGCCAAACCTTTTTTGGTTCCAATTTTTTTCATTTATAATCATTCTTCACATGTTCCACTCTTTCTTTCTCTCAGCACTCCCACTCCCCCAAAATCAATAACAAAGCTTTTGGAAAAAAACATTTTTATTTTTTATTTTTCACAAATTTTGAAACTTTATTTTTTGTTTTTATTTTTTCATATTCATTTTCTGGGACCTATTATGCACCACCTGAACAAGTCTCATAACTTCAAGTCTGTTTTTCGGAGCTCTGGGGTCCAAAACAGGCAGCCAAAAATAATGGTCCACCCACTGTACCTCGTGTGGCCGCCAGACATGTCCTCTTAGCTGCAAGTCCCCCCTTAAGACCTCCAAGACGGCACTTGTGTTAAGTTTGCCGCCTGTTACACCAAGCTCTTGGTATTCGGGTGGGGTCAGGGTCAAAAAACACTGCCCAGATGCAACCAATTTTGCATTACCGGTCATTCTTATTTGAGCCTCTCCTTCAGAGGGCATCCCACAGGATGCTGGGTCCCCTTAGGACACTCCAATCAATAGGATTGCTTAAGATTGCCTTGCTCATTATGCTCAGATTTTCAGAGTCTCAGATTTTCAGAGTCTACCTGAAAGCTCCTCTATGGCACCCCTTCCCTCTTCAGATATTTGTGTGCTACTGAGGTGTAATATTCTGCCTCTTTTTTCATCTTGTCATATCTTCATTCTTGCCCTATGAATTTTTTTTTCTACATTTTTTTTTTATATTTTCCTTCCTCAAGATAAATTTTCCAATTGTGAGTTGATACTACAGCTAGCTACTGTGATCCACGGGATCAACTTGGTCAAATTTTGACTGGCAAAGTTGCGAGACATTTAGAGGACCCCATGGGGACTGTCTCAGGAAGTCACCAGCCCCAAGGTTTTGGTCCCCTGAGTTGATGGGAGTTTATCCTGCCCTCCCCACCGTGGGAATGTGAGTAGGTGACCTAATTATTTCAACAAATAAAACCACAAACCTTCTAGGGGAATGGGCAGCCAGGAGGCTTCCTGTTGGCCGCTGAGAGCTGTACAAGTCTGAGCAACCAGGAAGAATCTGCTCAGCCACTGAAACTGTACAGTCTCAATGGCCAAGAGGAATGCTCAGGTCATAAAGGGAGTACACTCTTGATGTCCAGGAGTATCCCTCTTGGCTGATTGAAATTTGGAGTGCACACTCTCAATGGTCAGCAGGATTTTTGATAATTTTAGGCTACTGACAACTTCCATTCCCTAGGCCCAGAAAGTTGTGGAGAATCAACTCTCAAACCTTCCTTTTTTGTTTAAAGAAATATTAACAAAAATTAGGGCAAAAACTCTCATTCCCATTGTGGGAAAGGGAGGATCAACTCCCATAAACTCAGGATACCAAAGACTTGAGGCTTGAGATGTGCTGAGACAGTCCTCATGTGGTCCTCTTGACATCTCCCAACTTCAGGAGTCAATCCTCCCAGATTTGGGATTCAATCCTCCCAAATTTGGGGGCAAATTAACCAGGAATTTGAGCACTTTTGAAATTCAAAAAGAGGGAATGTCTAAAATAGAGCCTCCCTAGTGCCATACAAAAGAAAACAAGCAGGTCATCCTGACTCTGAGCTCAAACACAATGGATATTGAAGGTGCAAATGACTTCTTGGTGGGTTTTGTTGACACTCAAAACTCAACAGCTCATAAAACACTCCCAAGAATTGGGTGCAAATATTAGACTTTAGTTATGAACAAAATAATAAATTGATTTTGTAGAGAAAAAGGAAGAGTAAAATTCTGAGATTGATTCAAAGATGGTACCTACTACAAAGTTTAACTCAGACAGTGTAAAACTAAATTAAAGCTTAATTTGAATTTGTTTTATTGAAAACAACAATCAGGTCTACAACACAATTTATTTTTGGCAAGAAACAAAAAAAGATGGAAGGAGGACATATCCCAGACCTTGGGGTTCCTCTTTGTCATGGACTCCCCCCCCCTCCCCCCCAAACCTCCATCTGGCTTTGGACTTGGTGAAATAACTCCCTGTTGAAATTCTTACTCATTCCTCCTATTTTTCCTCATGACTCTTTCACCTTCCAACAAATTGTTTATTTCTGATCATCTAATTGAATTCCAAAACTATTGTCTGTAATCAAATCTTATTTTCATGTCAAGTGCACATGTAGTCACTGAACCCTAGGGAGTAGCCCTTTATCAACACTCTTATTTGAAACTTATCTTCTTCTATGGTTTATTCAAAATCAATGTTGATTATTTCTTATTACATATTCATTATTAAAACCACAAATTGATCATCTTGTACGTAGACTACTTAAACCTAGCCAGTTACAAGAAATCAAATGTCAATGCTTCTTACCTTCTTTTTTCAACAAAATTGAACTACTCCAGTGAGAATCCTCTTCATCACTGTCCACATCTCTCCCTCCTCAGTTTTCCTTGTCAGTAAAAAAGTTTTCACTCTCAAGGCCCAGGTGTCTGGGTGACATCTTCCAGGTTTTGGAAGTTGGAACTTCACACCTGAGAGTTGTTGAAAGATAAGTTAACTGTAGTCTGCTAATCATCAGCCCTATAAACCATAACCAGCAACAGGAAATATGTTTGAGTGATAATAAACCATGCCTAGTAGCTAGAAATTTTAAGGTCTTGTAATTCTATTCATATTCAAGGAAATGCAATAAATCACCTTGAGGTGGAAAACTAAATGGAGGTTGGAGAAAGTGAAGAGCTAGGAAAAAACTCAAGACAAATATAGAAACAAACAATATAATAGCCAAACAGTGCACCAACAAAGGGATTTAGTTGACAAAAATTTCTGGGACAAACTATGTGAAAAGTCATGAACTTTGAGTCCCATCTTCTCAATTAGAATAGACATAGCACCATCTGTTATGAAATTATCTGATTTCATGTTTCAGATCAGATTGAGCGCACTGCTATATGTTACCAAATCATCCAATTCAGATTGAGAGCCGAAGTCCTAGTATCAGTAATAAATGCTCGAAAGTTTCTCGGTGATGTAAGCATTCGAGATCCAAAAGAAGTTGTTGGCCGCAATGTTGAATTGAGAAATCCAAAGTTGAATCCATTGCTCAGAATATTGATAAGTTTCTCGGTCGAAGTTGTAATTTGGGGATGCAAAGGCTTGATTTAACAAGCCCTTAACCCGCTTGAACGCGGCTTCCAAGTCGTCCATCGCAAGAGTAAGTTTTACAAAATCAGGCCGTCGCGTGTGACCGAGATATTGCATGATCTGCTCCAACTCATATTCCAGTGTGCTGGTAGTAACTCGCAAGCCTTCTAGCTCCAGAAAGCTCGTTTCCGGGATCAACCCAGGTTTTATGTTTGGGAATCTGCAAATCTTCAACACGAGAACTCGATGTAATTTGTGAAGTGCAACCAAGCCTTCGATTTGTTTCCTGACGAGCGATTTTTCAGGATTGCCTTTGATTTGGGAAGAGTTGCGAAGTATGATAAGACTGGTCAAGGGACAATCCAGATTTCTCTTCCTTTCCGTGAAGCTCCATTGACGGAGGAATACGACGAAATCTGATTGCCCGAGTGATTCGATGAGAGTGTTTGCGACCTTCATATCTTGAACGGCTAGACGTACCAAGGAATTGTTGGTACTTGGAGTTCTTAATGTTGAATCGTCTGAGACAAAGAAATGAGAAATGAAGTCTTCGAAGCGCCCAAGTACATCGGATACAAGACCTAGTATCCCTTCAGAATTATGCACTAGACGATGGCGCCTGAACGGTGTCAAGGCCTCTACGTTTTCTTGGGAATCCACCGGTCTTGGCAAGTCCCAAACCGAGCCAATGGATACGCTTATCTGATCCATGCAGTTATCGATTTCGGAGAGAATTTCAAGACCTTTTTGGAACCGCTGGTTAGTATCTAGATGCAAACTGGCTGGATCGAGACACTTCAAAAGTTCATGCACGTGATGATGCAACAGAGGTAGCTGCTTCGTTCTGAGTATCCAACAGACACTGCTTCGCACTTCCCACTCGATCGAGCAATCATTCTTCTTGAGAAACATAATAGAGCGAATGAGGCCTCGATTTTTCTTTCTACCTTTTGATTTCAAGGTTTTCAAAGCTTGAACAAGTCGATCTACACGTCCGTTCACCCAGACCATGGTTAAAATAAGAACGACTTTTAACAATCAGTGGCTGTATCTATGAGAAATTTTGATAGAGAAGCTGGTCGACGGGGGCAAGCTGTTCGTATAGACTCACCTTGGTCTGTTTTCCCGACATCAAATTCCTGATCGAAGGTCTGGACCAAACTTGCAAGCAATTGGAATTCTAGATCAATCATTATGAAATCACAATATTCTTCAAGGATTCTGGAGCTGGTCGCAAGTGTCTTCAAGCTGATATCCACCAGCGTGTAAGAAAGGTTGTCTTTTTCAGACCTTTTTTCTTCCGGCCCTGCCACGGTGAAATTATCTGGACCGAAAAGTTACACCGCTTGCGCGACTTAGGATAGTGGCTTCGGCACCGCTAGTGTAGCGCCTTACTAGACAGAAGCTTTACTAGTTTTCAACTAACAAAAAGAATTATTCCGGCATCGATTTTAGCACACCCCAAGAATTCAAGAAGGCTTAGCTTCGAACCCGAAGGTTTCCAAATCTAGCGAAGATTGGTGAGAATCCTAATATGGTGCAAACTTGGCGATCTGGTGCCTACTTGAGACTGCAGACTAGTAAAGTATGCTGGACTAATGTGGATGTTATTAGAGCATCAGCATTCGTTTGCGAAATCTTGAGGTTATGTACACCACAGGAGCAATCGAGAGATATCGCAATGTTTCAAGACCTACAGCTGAAGTCTGTCGTTCCCAGAATCCGCCGGGCGTTCAAGGGGCAATCAAGCCAATTGGCACTGGGACGCTACAGTTCTCTGGACGGTGGCACAATTGTTCATGGGACGTGCCTTTTTGAAATGGGCCCTCAACGTTGATGGATGAGGGCCCTGGCAAGACAAAGCCCCCGTCCTCGAAGCAGTTTTCCGAACCATTCGGAGGAAATTCAGAGGGGATTGGCGGGCCAACGTTCCCCATGTGGACGCGTGTCCACCTAAAGACGAAGCATGGGGGATTAGTGTCCTCTAAACGGTTTTGAGAAACTGTTTGGAGGGCGGTTGCCGTTACAGCCGCCGCACTGGAATTCGGCTCACCGGCAGAGGGGACGGATAAAGCAAAGATGTGACTACACCACAGGAGCGATCGAGAAGTCCTGGGACGTTCCCCAAACCGTGGCAGATTGCACGCGTCCCAGCAACTACTGGGACCGCAAGGGAACGTCGAGGTTCTATCATCGGTGATGCAACAGTGATCCGACGGGACTTCCTTGCCGACGTTGCACGCAACCAAGATGGTTGAAATTGCTTTGGTTTCTGGGACGCTTCAGTCCCCTCGACCCATGGTCAAGGGTTCTGGGGACAGCAGCTCAAATCAAGGTGTCCTGTGGATACCTGGGTCCTCCCAACGCTTTAAGCGGCGTCCACAGTGCATTTGTAGCAACTGGGTGGTTAACAAGACGCTGAGGTTGATTTGACGAGTTACCAAAGTGTCAAACGGACATTGAGCAGGACCTCAACCATCCACAGGATGTTGAAGTCCTTCCGACACTCTGGGGGTCGTTGCTGGAACCGTATGGTTGACCAGAGTTCATAATTTTTCTGTAAATAGTTTGTACCGAACAAAAGCTGTTCTCTCTCGCTAACTATTCAACCTTAACGGCTCAGGTTATGTCATTCTTACTGAAATGATGTCATGGTGCTTTGACCTCAAATGCCTCTTTTTGCTCTTGAACTCGGCCCCAAAGACCCAGCCAGCTTTGTTCCCTTCCATTCCTCATCAACACCCTCTTGTTCTGAGCTCTACTCTTCATTCGCTCTCTAGTTCTAAGCTCTGCTCTTCATTTTCCTCCTTTTCCATCGGTCCACTTCTTGCATTCTCCCCCAATTCTCATCAATTGGCTAGTGTCAACTGGCTTTCTCATTTGACTTGACTGCTTTTCCCAAACTCTTCACAACTTCTTCTTTCACCCTTGTCTGAATTCTTAGACTTTACTTGAGAACAAGTCAATCTCCACTTCTTTTCCTTCAAGTCCTAAAAATTATCATCGCTTGCTTTTTCAAAATCATCTTTGCTTGCCTCTCCAAAATCATACCTTGCTTTTCTTTTCTTCCCTTTGAAAAATATTGATCCCGATTCTTGTCATCGACACGATTTTCTTGTTATTAGCTCAATCTTCATGTCATCAACACAATCTTATTGTCATCAACTCAAGCTTCTTATCATTGACGCAATCTTGACTTCCTATCATCCAAGTTGTACATCCTCAATCTAATTTGCTGATAAGAATAACTTCAGTTCTCCTTGTGCACCACCGATGACTAACATTCATATCCTTTCGGTTTGTCACTTGTTGTTTTCTCTTCGCTTGTGTAGCCCTGTTTTAATGGTATCTCTCTTTGTTCCGGCTACATGCTCTGTAATCGATCTAAAAATCTCTCTATGCTGATCACAGGGTTGCTTGGGGTAACCAAAAAGACAAATCGGTAAGTAGTAAACTGTCAAAAAGGCCTAAAACAGGCCAGACAAAAGTCACGGATATGAGAACCCTGAATGGATGAACCGGATCAGCAATGGTCCGAAGCAAAAGCACAAGCTAACCGGATGTAATCTACAGATCTGTGGCTACTGAGACCGGCATCTTGGCAAACACCCAGAACTGTTGCCTTGTCGTTTCCCTGGGCCCCCGGTGGCACGCATTCTACCGACGTTAAGAACACTACTCTCATGACACTCTTTCAACCTTCCAAGGGTTTCCTCACGAGTCCACCAGCGTCAGGATGCCAGCTGCTCAAGGTCGTCCAAGCGTTCTCCCAACCCCAACCACGCCAACCACTTCTTTCGTGGTAATTTCTGACCGCGTCGGAACGTTGCCCCCTGCGGAAGGGGGCAACGTTTGAGAAACGTTTTTGCGCGCGGTCAACGAAACGTCGAGCTGCACCGGTGGTGTATCCCCTTCAGTTCAAGACAACATTTTTGAACGGAACGTTTGATTGTCAAGTAGGCAACTTTAGATTAGCGGGCAGGTGTGACCTCTCAGTCACGGTGCGGAATAAACTTTTGAGCATTTGCGTTCGTTGGCAACGAATTTTCGGGTTCTGGCCTCAGGATAGCGGCCAGATCAGCCAAGCCCATAGTGCAACCTTGGTGGTTGGGTTGATTTCGCCCACCCTATACTAAGAGTGAGGAGTGCGGTACGAAAAGTGCTTAACCTACCAGGTTAAGCAGTCGCTAAATTTAGCGGGCATTTGTAGCCCGAAATCTAGCTTTTGGATAGTTGACCTGAGATTAGCCCGGGGGAGGCGGTCGCCGGTTGGGCTCAAGTCGCCGAGAGCCGTCGAATGTGAATGGGCTTGCGCCGGAGTTGCGATCAACTTGCCAAGCCTTCAACTCCGATCAACTTTCACAAGTGCAGGTTTACCAATCTGGAATTGACCTCAGGCCAAGGTGCTTGTCGCGTTTGTCGGTCGGGACCAGTCACGATGACCCGGCACTACAACTCAGCAAGGCTAACCGCTCTTATAACAAGCCTGGAAAAATCTGACCCGCGAAACTGGTTCCGTTATCACACCACTTGGCCAGCAGAGCTGCACTCATCTGCTTGCAATGCGAAGATCAACGAAGCTGCCTGACAGTGTCCTCTTAGATACATGATGTGAATTGATAAGAATATGAAGCCTGATAAGGAATCGCACTGGAACGACTCAATAATTGTAAAGCATCTGCCACGATTTCTTAACGGCAGGTTGACAATTAAAATGGCACTCTGTAAGGGTTGATGAAAGTTCTTTATTTTATTTGGGTCATAAGGGGCGCAGGAAGACGAAGAGGGGCATGTTTTGCATATTCAGAGGCAGGGGGTGAGAGGGAACGACAGGGAGGTTGGGAGGCACAGGAGATAAATCATGATTCATTTTTCAGATGGTCTTCGAAACCGAAGCTGCTGATTGACCAGCAGCCTTGGCACGTTTTTGAAGCATAGCAAATGATTTGTTGCCCCTGATGATTTCACATGAGATGATTACCAAAGTCAGCAAAAGTTTGGAGACACAAGTACAAGTAAATTCAGTGGACTAACCGGATACCACCACCCCAGTGTCGTTTAGCATCCTCGTATTTCTCCAAAAAGTTCACCTTGACAGCGCTGACCAACTTAGCAAGCTCATTCTTGTCCTCGCTTCGGATGTCAGTGAAAGCGACAACGGCGGCAGTCTTCTTGTGAACAACGGTACCGAGTCGGGCCTTGTTCTTGACAATGCAGTAAGGCACACCCATCTTTCGGCAAAGAGCAGGGATGAAGACAACCAGCTCGATGGGGTCCACATCATCAGCAATCACAACCAACGAAGCCTTCTTGGCCTCAATCAGAGCGACGATGTGGTTGAGTCCGTATTTGACGTAGATGGCTGTCATAATCGGCAAGAATCAATACAATGTTAGCTGGGCAAGTGGTTCGGAGTGACTTACGCTTCTTGCCAATTGGCTCGCCCTTCTTGGCGTCACCCTTGGCAATGGCTTCGGCTTGGGCGCCGAGACGAGCCTTCTTTTGTTGACGAGACTCGGGTCGGTACTTGTGCATCAATCGGAAAAGTTGCGTGGCGGTATTTTTGTCCAGGTGATTGCTAAATTGAGCAATTGAGGGTGGGACCTTCAGACGTTGGTTGAGGATCACCTTTTGACGCTGGAGACGGACGTATTCAGGCCATTTGACGAATCGGGTGAGGTCACGGGTAGGCTGGATATCCTGACCTGCAGAGAGACAGGTAGGGAATTGTGTTAGATGATGTGTGAATAATAGCCAAAACGATGAAGGAGGACTTACCAATGCCGAAGTTCTTAGGACGGCGTTCAAGGAGTGGGTTCTTAGCACTCTTGCTGTTTCGTCCAGGCTTGGCCGACTGAGCGGCAGCAGGGTTCTTCTTGACAACTTTCTTGACTGGCTGTGATGGGAAGATGGTCGAAGAGGGAGAAAGAGTGAGGGATGGGTGGGGTCATTGAAAGGGAGAGAAGAACAGGTTTATCCAAGTCAGCGACTATCAACAAATAGCACTGGACCAGGCTGTCTAGCTCTGCAACATCTTTCTAACAGGCTTTTGAGTGGGAACCGTCATTTCAACAACTTCCGACTCGTATAGACTTCTGCATAGCATCAATCAAACAAGCTTCAGTCGAGATCAGGTTCCCAAGCCTCCCCTTGTACGCATGGTGCTCGCAAGCAAACCAAGGTAACGGAAATGGTGAGAATCCAGATGGAGTAGCCGACGCCCTTCCAGCTGGTGTCGAGTTCGGGGAGATAGAGGCAATGAATCGTGTGAGGTCCGTACCATCTTGAAGAACTGTCGATCTTGAGGTCGGGTCTTGAGGTGGGGCCGGTACCATCGTGAGTGGTGGTGACTGGTGATGGGGAGGCTGCCGATGCGCGGGTAGGAAGGGTCGGGCCGGAATCACATCAGCCGGAGTCCCCTCGATCTGATGGCGGTCTCACTAATCTTAGAGCATCTCCACCGCGGTCCCTAAATCGGGTCCCTATCCCGCATTTAGGGACCGCGGCCCAAAAAATGCCACCCATCGGCGTCCGTATTTTACGGATTTCATCCTCGGCCCGTAGTGTATAGTCCAGTGGCAAGGTACTGCCTCTGTGGAGTTACTGGAGGCAGCACCTGGAGGTCATGGGTTCAAACCCAGGCCTGGCATTTAAAGGGCCTGGATGGCCTAGCGGTAACCATCACCCACGGAAGCTCGGTGTCTCCCCTGCGACGACATAGTATAATCACTTCGAAGAGAGTGACGAGTCCGGCGTTCGAATCCCGGCAGACCCAACCCCTGGCCGCTACCACTTCCGATCTTGGACAACTACACACCACCCCATTTTCACTTTCAAACCCTTTATTAGTTGTCCCCTTTATAAAAACCCCCAATTTCACTTTCAACACCCGTTACCCAATTTGAATCAGCCTGAAAAATGGTTGCACCCAATCTGTCCCCCAACTATAAAAATCCTTAAGTAGATGAAACTGTCTCTTACACTCCCGCATCCTCTACAGAACTTGCCCCCATAGACCAAGTACAGGAAAAAATCATGCTACAAACATACAAAAAGCTTGTAGGTAGAAATAATGATATTCATAGTGTGCAATGCCAAAGGCCAAACTTACACTTAAAAAAAAAAAAAAAAAAAAAAAAAATCCTCGGTCCCTCTCCAGACCCTGGATCCAGGGATTGGATAGGGACCAAGGACTGCACACATCAATGTGAATGTCACACAACATCACACCTCAACCTAGTGTGAACAGCCTGTCAACACTACACCAATACCGGTGATTTAAGGACTGCCCGGTGTGGCAGAACAGGGTTCCGAGTCCGTATTTTCGATTGATAGGGACCCAAAAATACGGACTGTGGTGGAGATGCTCTTAACCTAACCCAGATCCATAGTGCCCGGCTGCGGAAGGGAGAGCTGCAGAGCCAGACTGGGAGTGTCACAGGACCTGCATCCCTGTGACATCTGCGCTATCCTGAGACCATCTCCACCCGGGGAGGTAAACTGCGGTTGTAAACCAAATTTACCTCCCCAAGCCCAAAATTCCTCTGCCACCGGGGGTGCTAAAGGGGAGGTAAATTTAGTTTCCCTCCCCCCCCCTCGGGAGGTATAGCGTTGCTAGATGCGCAATCGCTATACCAACCCAAGTACCTCCCCAACCCAACGGTTTCACAGGTCAATCCTGGTGAAATCCGGAGTTCCCCCCCCTATTGACTAGCCTTTCACGCGCGAGGCATTGAGGATAGCAACCTGCGGTGGAAAATATGTTGAGGGACACTCAGGTGACTGAAACAGAAGAGGCTATCAAACTCACTGATGATCTTGACAGTGAATGAAATGGTTTGTATTCAATGATCAAGAGAGAAAGAGAGAAGTACGGAGCTGGTAGAAAAGCAGTAGCGGGGTGCTTGTTAGAAGCATAACTCAATATAAGCATACGGCTACTACATACAGGCTGTACCATCCCAACATCCCCCCTTGCTGATAACAAGCAAAAATTCAGCATGTCTTGTAGTGAATAGAAAAAGAAGAGAAAAAAAATTGGAAATTGCATCACTAGAAGTAAGATACTAATAGTAAGGGAATTGCCGTTTAGTAGGCTAACAAGAACTTGTAGCGTACTGAGAAAAGAAAAGAAATAGCTATCTGAGTACAGTTACTCATAAATCACACCAATTTCATCTTCATCGTCAAAGGATCCAGAATCGTAACCGCCTAATTGGACCGTGGTGACCGCTCCGGCTTTGGCCTTGCCTTTGTTCTTATTTTGGTAGCAATCAGACGATTTATGACCTTGCTTGCCGCAGGTGGAGCACGCAATTCGTTTAGTAGACGCAGAAGCGGCGGAGATGACATCGTGGGCCTTGGTACCGTTCAAGCTTACTTCGTGAGCCTCTAGCGCTCCAATAACATTGTCGAGTGACATCTCCGTCGCCGTGTAGACAATTGAATCGCGGACATTAGACCAAGTAGGATCAAGACCTCCGACAAGTCGATCGGCAATTTGTCGGTCGGTCGGGAGTTCTTCAATAGAAAGTAGATTGTCGGCGGCAACCCGGATCTGGCCAATCCATAATGCTATGACCTCGTTTGGATTGTGTCTAGCATTCCAGAGGCCTCGTGAAGTCTCATCCGACAAGCCCTGGTATTCTTTTCATACACGTTGACAATTGTTGAGTACAGTCGAGAGGCTGGTTTGACCTTGCAATAACGTTGAGCTAACGGATTCGATAAGGTCAATCGAATAGTGTAGCAGGCAAGATCGGAAAGCGCATCCCAGTCCGTGGTGATGTCGCTAGGGCTGTAGCCTTTAGTGTATTTGACAGACCGAGTCGCTGAAGGTTCTGTCTTTGAAGCCTCTTTGGGGCAAGGGAGCGTCCCTTTTACGATGTCAAGCTTGTTTTGAAAACCGAGAACGTCGTCAAGACAAGAGCTTCAAGTCGGAAAGACAGACTCCGTTCCGTCTAGTACTTGTATAGATGAGATCAGATTCGCAACGTTTTGGATTTGTCGAACAGTCGCCATTCTTCGTCGAAAGAGCTGAGATGTTCAAGCGACAGTGTACGAGAAAAGATTTGAGTCCAGTTTCGTAGAGAGTTGAGCGAAGAACCAGCAGCGAGGGACAAGTCAGAATCCGAGAGGAGGAAAAAAATCGATGTTAAGTGATGAGCGAGACCAAGAGGGTCTCATAACCTGTTGAGGGACACTCAGGTGACTGAAACAGAAGAGGCTATCAAACTCACTGATGATCTTGACAGTGAATGAAATGGTTTGTATTCAATGATCAAGAGAGAAAGAGAGAAGTACGGAGCTGGTAGAAAAGCAGTAGCGGGGTGCTTGTTAGAAGCATAACTCAATATAAGCATACGGCTACTACATACAGGCTGTACCATCCCAACAAAATAATTTTTCCCAGGGTTGCTATCTGCACGCCGCAGCTCCCGAGCTGGTAAGTATACCAACTCGGATGCCTCTTTGGGGTGGAGATGGTCTGATGACAATGACATTCATGCAAAACCAGGTGCTCTCGCTCGCAGTTGCCCTTTGGTCCTGAGGCTGGAGGAGAAACCATGACGGCCAGATACATACATACAGCAGTTCCCATAAAGCTTGTGGTCACAAGCTGCTGGGATCCCAAACTTTTTCTTTTTTTTTGCGCCTCACTTTTTAATTTTGTGCCGAGAGCATCGGAGCCTCCCCGAGGCAAGGTGGAAAGTGCGGAAACTGCGGAAACATACAGCGTATGTACTCTGGAAAGTTTCCAGTGAGCACATCCGTTTCAAAATCCAAAAGCGGATTAAAGGTCCCTCCAAAGCGGAAAGGTCTTTCCAATGCATCAAGGGAAAGAAAAAAAATGGATTCAAAAACAAGGGAAAGAAAAAAAAATGGATTCAAAAACAAGGGAAAGAAAAAAAAAAGGAGAACAACAACTTCAGCTGCTCACATCGAAGTGCTTACCGCTCAATGGCCACCAGGCCAACCCTGAGTGGCTCCCCCACAACGCCTGGCTAGAGATGGTCACTTTGCATCCGGATATCCGCTCTTAATTTCAGCAGAATTGCCTAATTCCAATCAAATTATGAGCGGATATCCGGATGCAAAGCAACCATCTCTACGCCTGGCCCCAAGCCGGCCTGATGGTGTCACCAAGCGTGCCAGTGGGACCGATGGCGCCGCCGGGGTCATCCTGCGGGCGGCGGCATGCCTGAGGGTCTTATAGGTGCCCTGTATTGTCACGATGGCAGGTGCCTGGACGGCCGAAGCGCCGGGACTGTGGTGGGGCAAAGTGTGATCCACCCCGCTGTACACTTGACCAACCCCAGCCTACCCCAGCCCACCAATGAAACCAGTTCAAACAGGTCCATCCCAATCCGGATGGACCTGTAGGACTGGACTCTGTACTGTACAGCTCTGTACTGCTCAGTACGAATATCCGCACTTTCCAGATCTGCGCAGAATATTTTCGCACTTCGGGCAGGCTCCAATTCTCTGGGAGCTTCCCCGAGGTTAGGTGGAAAGTGCGGAAACCGCAGAAAATACAGCGCTGTATTTTATCGCTGATTCTCTTGCTGTATTCTCTGTAGTGAGCCATGTGTTTCAAGATTCAAAATCGGTAAGGTCTTTCACACCACACAAACCAAAAAGGGAATGGTCTTTCCAACTGCATGTTGTCTCATCCATCAATCAAAAAAATCAGTTCTTGACCACCTCATGATGTTGAATCAGAAACGCTTACGCTGACAATAGAGAGAGAAGTGCTCAATAGTGTGACACCCATCAACATCAACAACAAACTTCGTCGCATCGGTCTTTCCTGTGAGCACTTTGGGCAGCGTTCAACTGGGGGAAAGAGCGATTGATGGACTATGCGGGTTGGGATTCGACCATCACCAAGTACAGCCATTATGCCATTAGAATTGATCTGATGCTGGGTGTCAATGTAGCATTCTTTCAGTATGTGAAAAAAAGCATCCCAGAAAACCTCCAAAAAGGGATGGATGAACGATGGCAGACTGGCCGCAAGAAATTGTATAGGCCGTGGTGTAGTGAGCCGAAGCGATTTCTCTGAATGCACTACCACATCAGCGGCAACACGGAGGAACTTCACCACGTCTTGAACGGTGAGCGAAGATATGATGTTTGCATCATGGGCCTCCAGAATTGAGATGAATGTTGTTAATAACATCGTTGTTGGCTTGAAAGGAACCCTTATATTCTCTCATATTTTTGCAACAGGACAGTCACATTTCCTTATTTTCCTAAACCCTCAGGCTATGATATTGCCCTGAGTGTCTCAAACATATCCGCAAGGAGGCGAGCAATCAGACGAACTTAACGGCGATCAGACGTGTTGGACACCAGCCCTGTATTTGAGGAAAGCCCTGCACTTGGCTGTACAGCTCGGTACCATTCCGCACTTTCCACACCCGGGTGGAAAGATTCCGCACTTCGGGCAGGCTCTGATTCTTTGTTTGTGCCTCTTGGTCCTGTATCTGGCCGTGTACAGCGTCGGTAACATATGTATTCCCAATCCCAATCCCCTATCCCTCACCCTATCCCTAATACCTAAGAGCATCCGCATTGGTGTGCGGATTAGGCAGGATTAGCTGCATAATCTAATCCTCCCAACCATATTGGTTGGGATTAGAGGTTGGATTAAGTTAGCTCCAGGGTTAGTTTGGAGGGGGGCGGGAGGATTGCGGGATCGGGATTTACCGCTTTTGCACTGTAGGAGTACATTCACATGTATTTAGGGTCTTGGCTAATTGACTCCCAAAAATTGGAGAGTTGACTCCCAAACCCCAAAACCCCCGGAATTTCCACCAAAATCCCCAAGGAATGGGAGTCAATCCCCCAAACCCGTCAGCGGGTTTGGGAGTCAAAAGACCAAGAATTTTAATCAAAAAAAGCCAACCCCCAAAGGAGCTGGGGGTCAATGCCCCAAAACCCACTGGGTTTTGGGTGTCGCTTACCAAAAAGAGCCCGCGACGGCCGGGGGATTTCTCCCGGCCGCTGATAGCCTGATAACACAACCTCAGCGGCCGAGAGAAACACTCTCGGCCGCTGAGAGTGCACACTTTCATCGGCCAAGAGTGTTTCTCCCGGCTGTTGAGAGTGTACACTCTCAACGACCCAGAGGTTTAGAGTGTTTCTCTTGGTTGTTGAGGGTGTACTACAACACTCTTGGTCAAGGGTGTACACTCTCCGGTCAAGGGTGTACACTCTCCGGTCAAGGGTGTACACTCTCAACGGCCGAGAGGTTTTTCCTGGCCGTTGAGAGTGTACACTCTCAGCGGCCAAGTGTTTCTCTCGGTCGTTGAGGGTGTACACTCTCAACAACCAAGAGTGTTCTCTCGGCTGTTGAGGGTGTACACTCTCAACAGCCGAGAGGTTTCTCCTGGCCGTTCAGGGACTCTCAATGGCCAGGA